AAAAAAAAAAAAAAAAAAAACCCTAAAATCCCTTTCCCTCCAACTTATCAAATAATGTATCCGTGCGAGCTCTTCGTATAATTACTCTCGCGAAACTTTCTTTTTCCAGTCCCCTCGTCACACCGTAGCCCACGACGACACCTTGCGAATAAAAATGCGCGACACGAAAAAAGTTTCGCCACCTCTGTACGGCTGCTCGCTTCTATACACGCTTTCTTCTTCGGCTATCCGAAAGGTGGTAGGCCTAGCGCAATTTCGAGACCATAAAACACCATGCCACGTTTATGCTTTGTATTCAGCTGCGCATTTTCTTCTGCGCTAACTGAGAACTCGACAAGGGGCTGAGGGTTGAGGTAAGTAATACACTTTAGGGTCCCGAGACAGATGGTGTGCCACGAGAGCATAAGCACTCAAAGTGAGCTCGGGCTGATCTCTTTGGAGTTTGCATTTGCATTTACTGCTGCACGCGCGCGTAACAACTCCTTATCTGCGTGGCCAGCCAAGGGTCGGTGTATATATGTAAAGCGCTTTGAGAAAATTTCGCTCGTTCGTATCAGCAGGGCACCCTACATAGCCTTACTCTCGGTTCACGGTTTTGTATTCGAAACGATATCGAACGATTTCATGGGTGTAAACGAATATTTTTATTTTATTTTTTGTTTTAATAATAGATCCGCTATAATTGATCCATTATTTCTTAATGGGACTCGTTAACAGAGCCAATAAATAAACAATTCGTTCAATCGATGATCATTTTTGTATCCTTGATTTTTGTGCTTAAAAAATTGCACGTTATTAATTAGGTAAATAACACAGATATTTCATTTAAATTACGAATGAAGCTCTCAAGAATAGGGTCCTCTATATATTCTGTCCGTGAACTTAGCTGCGTCCCGTTTTCTTTTCCAACGTCATTCAAGCTTTTTTTGCCAAGAGAAGGGAAGCAGGTTTTTGCTTTGTCTCAGTTTTGGAAATTTTCTAACTTTGTTTTCTGTTGATGTTGTTTTTTGCTCATCGGTGCATTGTTAAAAATCAAGCAACGCTACGTGAAAAACGGACAAATGGAAAAAAGCTTTCGTGTATTTGGAGACCAGCCAAAAAATACGCGGAACTCTCGTAAATTTTTACCAATCGAACGGTTATAAATTCGTTTGGGCGGGCGCGTGAATATTCAGGGAGGGAGGAGTCGGCGTTCGGGAAAAAATTCGGGAAACGTGTTTTATTTTGTCCTCTCCGTCGGTCGTTTACGAAGTCTCGCTGATGCTCGCGCTTGTAATTTCGAGCGAGTAGCGTTATAAATTACATTAGATGGGGTTCGAAGTCGCTCGCTCTATCGAATTGAAACTCTGGGTCCTCCCAAAGTAGCGAGTGACTTTATTTTTTTTAGCTTGTGGCTTTTTTTTCTCCTCGAGATAGAACGATTTATTCAATTTTTTAAATGAATTTTTATCGAAGTATACATATATTGTTTNAGTTTCAACAATAAGTACTTTACAACGAGTCCTTATCAATTGCATTTATTGTACTCGCATTTTTTTTATTGAGTACATATTTTTACAATTAAATTATTATTTGCAAAATAATAATAACACTCATAATAATTGATCGTGTAAAATATCAAATTTGGTGTTTAACTTGTATGTATCTAAGCCAACGGTATAAAATACGCGTTGGTTTGATTTTCTCTATTTTGGAGTGTGAATGTAAGAGTTGAAGATGAAATAAAGTTAACCGGAAAGTATAGTTACTTCAACTGTAAAATCAGACGTGCACATATAACGTGTTAACGAATTAATAATAAACATTACACGTCTTATTATTAAAGGTGGATTTTAGTTACAGAAACGCGAGTGGCATCAGAAATATACAAAAAAGCAGCAGAGATACACCCGGCATATCTAAAATAAATCAAATAAAAACATTAAATTGAAATCACCTCACGACGTTAGCACAGATTTATGTGGTCCATCAGTTGTGTTGAAAGTTAATGGCGAACAAATTTTCGAGGTGCTCGAGAGATATGTACATTGTACGTACATGCCAGGCGTCTGGCTTCTGGCGATTACAGGACTCGCCGGTGGTGCTTACAACTTTGAACAAATAGGTTTCTCCTGTGCTGACTCCCAACTGCGCGACTCTTAAAATTCACGTGACTTTCGCTGAACTTTACCCCCCCCCCCCACTGT